CTTAAAGGCTTGAAGATAAACAAGCGGCTATCTAGCTCAGAAACAACAAAGCCCACATGGAAGAAGCACACCAGTCTGTGTGATCATGAGGTGTCGAAGGGATGAGGTATCAGGCATCAAAGAACAAAAAATCATATCATTGTGAATGACGGAGTGCGGAGTGGAGATCCAAAGTCTATCTGTAGGCAACTGGACATCCCCTTACAGAAGGGTCTTGGGGAGAAGACGAGCCAGTCATGGTGTAGTATAGCAATGATGAAACATAACTTTCTTCTAGTTCTTTAATGCTTTGTCCTCCCCCACTATCATGATCCCAATTCTACCTTATAAATCCTGCTAGACCAGAGGATGTACACTGGTACAGGTAAGAACTGGAAACACAGGGAATCCAGGGCAGATGAACCCTTCAGGACCAGTGGTGTGAGTGGCAATACCAGGAGGGTGGAGGGAAGGTGGTGTAGAATGGGGGAACTGATTACAAGGATCTACATATAACCTCCTCCCTTGGGGATGAACAACATAAAAGTGGGTGAACGGCGACGTCGGACAGTGTAAGATATGACAAAATACTAATTCATAAATTATCAAGGGTTTGTGAAGGAGGGGGGTCAGTGAGGGAGGGGAAAATGAGCGGATACCAAGGGCTCAAGTAGAAAATGTTTTAAGAATGATGGCAACAAATGTGCTTGACTAAATGGCTGGATTGTGCTAAGAGCTGTAAGAGCCCCCAGTAAAATGATTAAAAAAAAGAAAAGATGTTGACAAAACAGTACAGAGCAGCGGTTCTCAACTTGTGGGTCATGAGCCCTTTGATGGTCAAACGGCCTTTTCATAGGGGTCGCCCGATTCATAACAGCAGCAAAATTAGTTATGAAGTAGCAATGAAAAGAATGGTTTGGGGGCGGGGGTCACAACATAAGGAACTGCATTAAAGGGCCGTGGCATTAGGAAGGTTGAGAACCACTGATGTAGAGCATATGAAACTCCCTGAAGCATCCTGGCACCATTTTGTAAACCTACAATTCTAAAGGTTTGTTTCAAGATGTATTTTAAAGGGCCTTTGGGCAATGGGTTGGCTGCCTGGTGATGTCCACAACTGTGATTGTAATTACAGGGAGCCGGTGACAGTTTTGTGGGAGCCTTGGCCTTCTACCTGGCTTACTACCCAAGCCTGCCCTTGGAAGAAATGCTCAAGAGATCCAATTTCATCGCAGCAGTCAGCGTCCAAGCTGCAGGGACACAGTCATCTTACCCACACAAAAAGGACCTGCCACTTCAGCTGTTTTGATTGCTGTTAACCCTAAAGCAAATGCACCGAGAAATAAAATGTACTTGGGGACGGATGCTTTCAGCTGGTAACTCTGTCGTGCTCATTGCTCACAGCCCTCCTCAAGCTTCCATTGATCTATGATGATTAATTCATCGGCTTCACTTTGCAAGAGCCAATCAGAATGTCAAGGCCAACCAGAATTTAGGATTCCATGCCCAGAATCTTTAATACAAACATCACTATTCAGGGACCAGCAAACCTCTATTGCCAAGGGATTGCTAGTACTAAAGTCATCCAGCAGGCTGTGGGCAAGTGTCTGGAGTCAGAGCCGAGATGTTAGCTCGGGGAGGGAGCTGACAAGCTCGACCACTCCATCTAAGACGGGCAGGGGATACTCAGCTGCAGCATTACAAAGCTGCTGGTTTCCCAAGAAGCCAGAAATCTGGGGATGTATTGAAATGTTTCAATGGTTAAATAGCAGGAACTTTTTTGGTTTTAACCATAACCACCACTGGTAGGTAGGCTGCTACATGCAGCCCTTGACCACTGGTAGGTAGGCTGCTACATGCAGCCCTTGGCATTTGGCAAACCAGACCTTTTTCCCTTAGGACTGCCATTAATCGCAGACCCTTCACAATCCATGAACAAGGACCAAGTCCTTTTGTCAGCCAAGACTTACTTACAGTGTGTAATTTCAGCCCAAACTGATATACAAGGGGGTACCCCCCCAAATGGATTTTTTTTTTAAGCTATGTGTTTAATTTTTTTTTTTTTTAACAAAACAACCTTATCACCTTCAAAGCACTCTCCATAGCACTGAATACATCTGTCAAATCTGTGATTCCATTCTTGGAAACATTTCTCAAACTCATCTGTTTAGAAGGCTGACAGCACCGCCTTTTTTTCACCTCTTCTATGTTGTCAAATCGCTGTCCGTTCATGTCCCTCTTCATTCTCTGAAGCAAAAAGTTGCACAGAGAGGTCAGATGAGTCAGGTGCGTGGGGCAAGAGGCATGCTGTCTTTTTGCCAAAAACGGGAGCACTGAGATGGCTGTGTGAGCAGGTGCATTGACATGGTGGCAAAACCAGTCCCCCAACTGCCACAAATCAGGCCTTTTTTGTTGCACAGTTATGCAGTCTTTCCGGAAAATCTAAATAGAAAGCTTGATTAACAGTCTGACCTGGTGGAATGAACTCCAAATGCACTATCCCCCACATCAAAAAAACAAATGAGCATCGTCTTGATCTTTGATTTCACTTGAACTTTTGGGGGTGAGGTGACAATGGCGTCTTCCGTTGGCTTGATGGATGTTTACTTTGGGGTCTTAAGAATAGCACCAGGTCTCACATCAGTAATGGCCTTGGAAAAAACGTCTGGTTCACATAGGAGCTGTTCTTTCAAAGCATGACCTGTTCCTACTCAATGATGGCTTTTCCTGGTCAGTCAGAATCCAAGCCACAAATTTCGCAGTGATCCTTCTCACTTCCAAATCCATTAAAATTCGCTGAACCAAGCTCTAAGATAGGCCAGATAACCTTCCCATCCATTCAATGGTCCGTCAGGCTTCAAGCACAGGTGCATGCATTTTGTCTATATTTGTGTCTGAGAAGTTGACAGAAGTCCAGAATGAGGTTTATCATCAATCAACATTTCACATCTTTGGAAACAAGGAAACCACTTGTACACCTGTGTTTTTCCCATAGTGCTGTCCTTGTAAGCTTGTGTTCAGCAACAGTTTCTGCGGCATTTTTCCCAAGCAGGAAACAAAATTTCACAGCCACTCGCTATTCTATCAGCCATCACAAAAAACTGAGGTTCGAGTGAAACTGCTTTTACGAAACAACTCACTGTGACCAGAGAGCCTTCCCAGGCAACCCCACTGGTGCACTACCTCAAAGCAAGTTGCTCAATGCTCGCCTCACAGGAAAAATGAGTACTATGAAAGTTTTGCCCAGCGGAGTTTTCAGGGATTTTTATAGTACCCTCCCCCCCATAGCTATTATTAAAGGTTTGAACCAAGACTTAACAAAGAATGTCAGAAATTAGCCTCCCAGACTCAACAACTGTCTCCACCTAATTCCATTTCCAGAGCACACTTGCATTTCCTCTGGAAACACTGATTGGGCCATGAGACAGGTGCTGTTGCAGACTACACTGGTTGTTCCCTCCTTCTGGCCACAGTGGGCACTAATGTCTTCCCTCGTAGATGCTTTAGATGGGGGGCCGGCGGTGAGACAGCAGAGCCCACAAACCATTTGGAAACCGTGTGGTAAAGACTATCATCAGGGAGCGGAGGGAGCATGGATCTCTGGGTAGGGTAGGGGTCCTCATAGTAGGGACCATCTGTGGCTTCCTGGAAATACAATGTCGTTCCTATCTAACAGTAAAGGAATCCACACCTGAGTTGGGAACTATGGCACCACGGCATTTTTCTGAGCTGTTCGGGCTTAAGTCACAACAGATGTTCTCTGGGGTTTTGTGCCACAAGGCTCCCTCCCACGGCCTCGGACAGCACGGGCACTCTCCCAAGGTCACGGTGAGTGTGGCTCGGCCTGCCCTGTGAAGTCACAGGAGGAGTAGGCTGGAAAGTCTTACACATGTCTCATTATGGAAAATTTTCACTTCTTTTATTAAATGAAACAATGGTTAATTTTTAGTAATGTGGCTGATTTTTTAAATTTCACATAGTGGGAAAAAACATCACTAAGAGACAATCACACTGGCTATTTTAATATTTTTATTAGGAGCTATAAAAATATCTAGGAAGATAAATAAATGTGATACGATGATCTATGTCCTAATATGAAGAACTTTCTTTCACTTATTGTTTTCCTTCACAATGGCCTTCAAATCACAGGAGGCAGTGATTCCAGGCCATTTCCTCTTCTTTCATTACCCTCAGCGGGATTTCTGAATCCGTGTCCCACCCTCCAGTCTTCTTTTTTATAAACCAAATTCATTTTCAATCCATTGTTTAGATGGAGCGTATTTTTTTCTGTTCCACAAAGAGGACTTTTTTCTGCACTGCAGGAGAAAGGAGTCAAAAAAAGAATTGTTAATGGAAAACTAACGCTCACTACCACCATTTTTATTCAAAATAAGCATCGGACCAAGTATTTTACTATCCCCTTGACATGAAGATGGAGCTGGGGGCCTTCCTGAAAAGACACTGGTACTGCTTAGCTCCACTGTCATCCCCCCCCCCCCCCCCCCCCCCCCCCCTAATTCAGGTTCAGTGTACAACCTCAGTTCCCCCATCCAAGAGGCTGGAGACAACTGGAGGAAACCGGAAAACCGGGGAAAAACCACAAGGTCACATTTGCAGCCCGTGTGAAAGTCAATTAAGGAGGAGTGTTAGGGGCAACAGGTGGAAGACAATCAGGATCTCCACCTGGTGAAAATCCACTCTGGCAGGAGGTGACCCCAAGCGCGGACGGACACCTGGGAGGGAGCTAGGTTCAAGCGAGCCAGCAGGCCAGGACTGAGCAGCTCAGGGAGAAAGCCCTCCCTGCTGACAGGAGACACACCAGAGTGTGCCTGTTTCTAAAGATGACTTAATACATTTGGGTGTGGGTCTTCAAATTCTGTAACGGAAGTAATACTACAACCAAATCGAATCAAAATCTCCTAACTCTACCGACCGCTACAGAGGGCCGTTCTCGGAAAAAGAACCAGAACAAAAGCGCTATTAGCCAACATAAAAAAATCCTAATTCCTATAACATGAATGCATTTATAAGATTCCATAGGAGCCCGATGGCACAGTGGTTAAGCACTGAGCAGTTCAAAGCCACCAGCCGCTCCTTGGGGAAAAAGACAGGGGTTTACTCCCATAAAGAGTTAAGTGTTGGAAACCCACAGGGCAGTCCTACACTGTCCTATAGGGTCGCTGTGACCCGATTGCAGCAAGATGGACTCCGGAAAATCCCGACATGACCCTGCCATACACACCAACTCCTCTTTGCCAAAATACACAGCAACAGTGCACCCAGGAAGGTCCAGGGACGCACAGGCCCGTGGCACGCAGCTCCTCACTTTTCTCCACCAGGCGAAGAGGTATCGGCTCTGGTCTGTCACCTTCTACAGCCAACAGGCTACTCTACATAGATCAGTAAACAACCTAGGAGTCAGGATGAGCTCGGAATTTCCTGAAAAGGCGTTCCAACGGCTCACCTCCACCTCTCCCCTGATTGAGTCAGTAAGCCTGGAGTGTCTGGAAGTCTACATGTTTCAAAAGTCCCTAAAAAGAGGATTATGATGGATAGCTGCATTTAAAAGCCAGTAAGTGCTCACCAAAATTTTATCTGCAATACTAACAAAAATAACATGAAACTATACACTGTCTACAAGGGATCATTTTTAAATATTTCAAGTCACCAAAAGTCAAATATATGTAGGACCGATCCTCCTGATTCGAAGACTACAGAGCCTGGCAAGACCGCAGTCAAGCGCCAACCCTGCTGTGCTGTCCCACACGGAACGAAGAAACGGACAATAAATCAAGAGATGACTTTAAAGGCCCTGACTAGGAATAACCAAGGAAGCTGAAGTTTGATCTGAGAAAATTCCTTGATTCAGTCACTTCCATAATGCAAACAACTCTTAGGTCTCAGCAATGTACTTATAAAAGTCTAAGAACCACTGACTTAATACATCAGTGTCCCAGCATACATCAGCACATCAATCCATCAGGTGCCCATGTGACTGTCATAAACCAAAGCGAACCCACTGCCATCGAGTCGATTCCAACTCAGGGACACTTCACAGGACAGAGCAGAACTGCCCCCTAGGGTTTACAGATGCAGACTGCCACCAGACAGCTTTTTCCTGTGGAGTGACTCGCCGATTCAAACCACCCACCTTTCACCCGGCAGCTGAGCACTTTCACCACTGCACTCCCAGGCCTCCCTTGTGGGATCCTACAAATCAAAGGGAGCTGGAATGGTGAAGGCCCTGGGTGTACGGAATGGCCCCTGGAGGAGTGACATGTAGGTGAACCAAGAAGGAAGCAGGCCTAGGGTGGGGTGGGGCACAGGACTGAAGGGCGTGTTCCATGGGCGGGGACGCTAGACTGACCCAAGGGAAGGCCCCAATCATAAAAATATATGTATTTAAGGAAGGTACATTTAGCCCCGTGTAAAATACGGAGCTTAGAGCCAGAACCATCAGGTTCAAAACGTGGGTTTCCTATTGCATTGCCCCGATGTTGGGTGGAAACCCGCTTTGGCTCTCTACCACCATCTGGCAGTGCTCTGTTTTCAGTCGTCCTGGGAGTCTTAGGGGGACCCGCCCCACTTCTCCTTAGCTGGGAGTGACCAGCCGCCTGTCCCTAGGCAAACCCTGCAGACACCCTCCCCTCAGTTTCCCTCCCTGCGAGAAAGAACGCAATCCCGCTCACACAGCTGCCTGTCAGATCCACAGCGAGCATGCCATCCACCCTAGCTCAATGGATATGACACACTGCTATCCACCACCCTAAACATAAATTAATTTTCTGTCAAAATATTTGCTGCCTAATTCATAGAAGAATGAAGAATGACTCTTGTCAAGCTCTTTCCCTGTATCAAACCTAAATCAATTCGACTTCAACGAAACCTGGATTGTCTGGTTAAGCCACCCCAGGAATTCCAACTGACAAGTTCTCACTCTTTGTAATCAACCTTAGGCTATCTTACAAAAGGAATCTTGGCGCGCAGTGGTTAAGCACTCAGCCCTTAAATGAAAGGTCAGGGTTTGAACCCAGTAGCCATTCCATGGGAGAAAGATGTGGCAAAGCCCTTCCATAAAGACTCACAGCCCCTGAGACCCCCCTGTCCTGAGCCACTAATCCTTCCTGGGGGGGGGGGGGGCACCATCCAGTTCTGAATAAGGAAAGGGGTTTCTGAAAGGCAAGAAGCATGTGTTGCAGGTTCTTGCAATAGAATATACTATAAAGATTTGAGTTCCTTTTTCCTTGTGGTTTAAAAAAAAAATGCTGGGAGAGCTGCCAAGCTCTTTGGTTCCCTGGGTGCTGGGGTGGGCCCCAAGGCAAACACCGTGATCACGCAAGCTTGCAGGACAGTCAGTGGGCAGGAAGCCAGGCGGTCTGCTGTCAGAACATTCTCTTCAGAGAAGATGAAGTTGTGCTGTCAAGGATCACTCCTTATCACAAACAATTCTAATCATGTGTGAGTGCTAATATGAATCATTTCTGCACTTTAACTTACGCTCAGAATTGTTTATGGTGGTATCCTTTCCCAATCGCAAAAGTTAAAAAGCAACCTAACAAATACAAAGATACCAACATGGAGTAGGAGGAGCAAAAAATGGTTTTGGTTTTGTTTTTTAAAATTAAGAAATTGCTTTTTAAATTAAGAATTGCTTTATTGCAAAGTGTACTGCTTTGAGGTTTCACCAGCTGATGTCACCAAAACTCGGGGGGTGGGGGGGTGGGGGGTGCTCCATAACGTTCCAGTATTTTATCTTCTCATTCTAGTATTTTTTCTATGATTTGAGGAATCATCCTGAAATTCAGATTCCTAATCCTCCGATACCAACCAAGATTCCCTTCTCATTCTAACAGAGGACTGCCGAGTAGGTCTAACACCCTAAAGACAGCGGGAAGGTGGGGTCTGTCGAAGCATGGACTCAAGCCTGTTAAGGCAACCACTGTGCTTGCTGGTCTCTGGAAGATGCCTCCACATGTTACACAGCCCTGCTCTCCTGAAGCAGCGTTTCTAAAGGGACCATGTAATGAAAGGGCACAGAGTGGAAACCAACTGCCTGGAATTCTAAAATTTTGTAGAACTGTGTTTGCTAGTTTATGATGCTTAAAAGCTGCACATGAAAACCAAAAAAAAGATGGACTTCCACCGACAGCAATCAGGCACCATCCATCTCATTTACAGCAGGCAATTGGGCCTTGGGGCCACGTGTCTCTTTTGGACACTCTTCCCATGTATTAAGACTGTTTAGAGTCATCATTGAGCATGCCACGTAAGGGGACAGTTCCAAATGGGACATCAAATTCCCTCCTCTACTGCACTGAAACACAGACACTAACGTCCTTGAGCTCACACCAGGACCCAGGATCTTACCACCGATCACTCGAGCAAGACAAACACGCCCTGGCCTTCTCAGGGCTCTCTGATCTGTGCTCAGCCTTTCCCGGCACATGGCTGGTTTCTCCCATTTGGGGCTTTTGTTAACTAGCCTCCGGTAGAGAGGCCTTCCCTGCCCCAGCCTATCTGAAGTGAGCCTTCCAGCCTTTCCCCCACACTTGCAGAATGAATGTTATGGTATCAAATCCCAAATCCACTGCCACCTCGGTCCATTGCAACTCCCAGCAATCCTACCTCAGGTTGCCAAGACTTTAAATCTTACCCTCATCTGTCTTCCCTGGAGCCGCTGGTGGGTCTGAACCACTGGCCCTGTGGTTTGCTGTCGAGTGCTTACCCCACAGCGCCACCAGGGATGCTCAGCACAAGTCTAGAGGCCCTGCACCTAGTAAAGAGCTATTTTCTGGAACCTTACCAACAGGGTCATAACGCAAAAGGGTCAGTTTCTCCCGAAGCCGGCTTCGCTTGGTGTTGAAGGTGTACCCTGTCCCAGCTTGGCTCAACATTTTCACCAGAATGTTTCTACGATGAAAAGTCAGCTGTTACAACGACGGAAATAGACCGAGTTCAGTACAGCAGGACTAACTGCAACATCACTTGGCCCCAAGAAGGTTCTGTCCTACATTTTCCATGAAACAGATTCAGTGGTTTGAACCAAACGTTTGTTCCTTTGCCCAGCGTGGCTTGATCAAGACCTTAATCGAGCAGCGAGTGAGGCAGGCTGCGGGACTAGACTCAGGACGTCCACCTCCCCACAAAGCCCGGAGGGAGAAATGCAGAAGTACTGGTCACCCTCTGGCCAGCCAGGAAATCGTAACGGCTGTTACCACAGAAGAGCCTCCTTTTCCGGTGTTTGAGCAATAAGAGCGCGCACATGGATCCAAACGTTTTTTACCGCTAGCGTGCGAGGCCTTGCTCACCCAGGCTCACCCGGAGGGAAACGCTCAGGCTTGCCTCGCTGGACCCTTGTCGCTTCCCAACTTGTACTCATTTGCATGACGTTGTGTCTTGTCTCATCTACCCCGTGTTACTTCTCATCTCATTCCAAAAAAGAATCTGAAGCCCCTAAGACTGGACTTCTCATCCTTGTACATCTTCCCATGGCTGGTCCAGTGCTTCCTGTGGGGCCACAATGCTGACTTGCTGATTAATATGATAGGTAATAATCAGTCATTCATTCAACAAATAACTATGAAGCGCTTCTTCCATGGAGAGTACTATACGAAATCTGTGCCCTCTGGGGTCTAATAGTATAATAATAGAAAGTGAGTTGTGTCCACAAGATCTCTAAGACAGATCATGACAAATGTCACATGAACATGAGAGGCCGGGAACCTAGACATAGTGGGTGGATTCTAACACAAATGGATTGCAAACTTTGTGAATCAGTACAACAAATGGGGGGAGGGGGAGGCATGTTTTTCAGTCACTTTAATTTTTTTAAAGCTCAGTTCAAATAATGTTTTAGCATACCTTGGCTTAGAAGCAAAGGCAGATTTTGAATTTTCCTATTTTTAACATAATAAACTTTACTCCAATTCTTGTCTACACGATTCAACCAGGGTGCAGTATAGCACCGAGGAAACACACTCTAGTTCCTGAATACTTCCTCCCCCCACTACCATGACCCAGTTCTACCTTAAAATCTGGCTAGACCAGAGTACACACATTGGTATAGTTAAGAGCTCTCAACACATGGAATTCAGGACAGATAAAACCATCAGGAACAGCAGTGGGAGTAGTGATATCATAAGGGTAAGGGGATGGTGGGTTTGGGGGAAGGGGGAGAAAGGAGGAACCCATCAAAAGGTTGGATATGCCCACCCCCAGGGGAACAAATAACAGAAATGTGGATGATGGGATACAACGGACAGTATAAGACATGAAATGATAATATATAATTGATCAGGAATTCATGAGGGTGTGAGAGGGAGGGGGGAAAAGAGGAGCTGATTTGAAGGGCTCAAGTAAAAAGAAAATGTTTTGGAAATGTTGATGGCAACATATGTACAAGTGTGCTTAATACAATGGTGGATTGTCATAAGATTTATAAGAACTCTCCCCCAATAAAATTATTAATTAAAAAAAATTCTTATCTACAAGATGTCTTTTGAGATACCAGTTGGGTATTTATAGTCACTCTGGAACATCATAGAATCTTTAATATCTCTCTTTGAGAGAGAGATTACAAAATGGAAAGAATTACAAAATCCGTCTTTAAAAGGCTCTATGGTGTTATCAAATCTGCTGGATTCCTGTAATGCACTCCAGACAAACAGTCCCTGGTCTTCAATTTTAAGGAACAGAGCACAGGCCAAGACAGATGATTTGTTTAGGAATGAGACGGCAAGTTCATAAATCCTGGGATAAGCTAAGAAACAGCAAGAGCCCCTTCAAGCAAAGTGTTCCAAAGTCCACTGAAGTAGGCCTGCTGGACAGGCAGGAAATTTTTTTCTGAAGGCGCTCCTAAGGGCAAAATAACTTATCAAGTAATCCTCAAACTAGTTTCCAGAAAATCGAGACCAAATGCCTACTTTCATGTGAGAATGCACCAGAAGTGGCTGAATGAACAGATCTAAAATAAACATGGAAAAAGCAAAAGAGATAAAACCTTTACTTACTTTGATTTGCTCCTGGCAACTTTGTAGAGATGAAATATGGTTGCAAGAGAAAAATAAAAACACCAATTTATTATATGTCTTAGGCAAAGTTTACATAAATATCAGTCGTAATAAAAAATATTTAAGTCATAAAGTATGCCCTAATTGTCACCGGTGTTAACTAGTTTCGAAGTTTTAGGGGTGCAGGTTCCTTGGGAGGCAGGCCTGGCCATCTGCTCTGTCAGGTCACACAGCCTGGAAGGCTCCATGACACAGTTCTACTCTTCCCATTCGGGGTCGTCATTCGTGGGAATCATTCGACCTCAACTAACCAGGGGCCTGATAGGATTTTAAAGAGATAAAAAAGGTCCAATCAGACAAACGCAATGCTGGATGCCCTGCTCTGCACAGTATCATTTCGGTCAGACTGGACTAATTTTTACATCTTTCTAAAGCAATTCTCAACCTGTGGGCCGCGACCCCCTGGGGGGGGTGTCGAACGACCCTTTCACAGGGGACGCCCGATTCATCACAGGAGCAAAATGACAGTGATGAGTAGCAACGAAAATCATTTTATGGTTGGGGGGTCACCACGACATGAGGAACTGTATGAAAGGGTCAGGAAGGTTGGGAACCACGGCTCTAAAGTAAGATCTGCTTAATCCAACCCTCTCTTAAGGTTCAAGTATTTGCTCTTGAAAGTGGCCAAGCTAACTTTGAGGAACTGTTCACAGCGATGACATGGCGGGGGGACAAGGGGCGGTAAGGATAAACTAAATCTCACAGGGAAGTCCGCTCGCGGCTGGGAAGGGCACCAATCGGGGCCCAGACGCCGTCCGGCACCGCCCACCTGCGTGGCCTCCGGCAAATCACTGGCCCTCTCAGAAGCGGTTTCCTCCTCGTCCGGGAACGAAACGCGGGGCCTAGAAACCCTGACGTTCGAACCCAGTGGTTTCTGACAAATCCCTACGGAAAACACCCCGGACGCTCCCCGAGCGGACCCTGCGAACCGCAAGGGTCCGGCACGAGCGCCGCGAGCCCCGCCCGAGGCGCGCCGCAGGGCATGCTGGGAGCTGTAGTCCAGGGAGTCGGCCGCCGCCGCCGCTTCCCGGCGCTTCGCCCGGCCGCCCCGCAGCACCCCAGGGCCTGCTTGCCACGGCCTCCCGCCTCCACGGCCTCCCGCCTCCACGGCGGTTGCCTCTGGCTCACTTACAAGAGACCGCAGTTAGGAACATGGCCGCCACACCACTACCGCCGCCGTACCCGGCCCAAGGTGCCCCAACGAACAACCGCTTCCGGGGCACAGGTCCGTTCTGAAAGATGACTCCGGAAGTTCTCCCAAGACCCGCCTCCCTTCCGAAACCTGCCGGCGAATCCGCGAAGCCCACCGCCCCCTTATTTTTACTGCAAGGTCTTGGAGCCCCTGCCTTATGGTCAAAAGACTTTCGTGACGGTTAGAGTTCGCTCCCCAGGCCCCGATCCTTGCCCCGTGGTCAGGTAAAGCACTTTACACACTTTACACACCACTTTTAATCATCACAACTAGCCTTCCAGGTGGCGAGGCCTCCACAGAGCTCCTTAAGATGCTCCTTCCTTTGGAAAGCCCGCTTCACGCCAACCTCGGGTAAAGGCTTATTCTCAGCCTTGTCTGTTAGGAAAACCTCTTGATTATCCCCAATGTCACCATCATCTCTGGCTCTCGGAGAAGAACCGTGGCGCAGTGGTTGCGCTTTAGACTGTGGTCCACGTGGTCGGTAGTTCGAACCGCCCCGCAGCTCCTCCGGTGAAAGACTGGGTTTCCCACTCCCGCAAACAGTTAAAATCCCGGGAACCCGCGGGGGTTACTAGGAGTCAGCATAGACTCCATAGCAGCGAGTGCGGATTTTGGTTTGGGAGAGTGGGACCCTGGGAGTCTTGTTAACTGCTTCATCCCAAGCTCCTAGCGCACTGTGTGGCAATACGACCAACAGTTTTTAATTATAAAGAGTACACTGAGATTTGGAGCACCCAAATAGGCCCAATGTCATACATCTAAGGAGTAGAATGTGAATGTGAACGCAGATTTTTGTATCCCAGAGATTGCTTTTTTTCACTAGGCATAAGGAACCCTCCACTTTACCGTCACCACACCAGAAACATCACTTCCTCTCCCTGCCAATAGTCAAAACTTGGTGGGTTTTATTTTAATTTGTGATTTTATCTATGAAAGTCTTACAAATAGGCAAGGCAAGATTTACTATCATCTTCACCGAAAATGTTTAAAGTCCTTAAAAGAGAAAATTCAACTCTCTAGTGCTACAATTTTTGTGAAAATTAGAACTGTCCTTGCCTTTAGTACCTAGTCGTTTTTTTGAGTTTTTCTTTTTTTCGAAGTCTTTTATATATACTGCTAGCACAACCCCCTTTCCCCTCCCCTACAGCCCAGCACTCCATGCACCCAAATGTTTCTTACCTTGTGCAATGTAGCTATTGACAAGTAAGAGCTTCAGGTGTGTACGAGAGTACCATTTCTTATCAGGGAAATTCCTCTAAAGGATTTATAAGAAAAGAACACCAGTCCTGGAAGCTAAGTAATATGAATTGTAGTTTTCATCATGTCCCTTGAAAAACGACTTCAGTCCTTCAGGTCTCCTCGGGGTGGGGGAAAGACGGGACTGTCTGCACTCCTGCAGCCCTTTCTGCATAGTTGACACTGTGGTTAGCAGCCCAGAGTAATCAACTCTGCCTCAAACATAGGAAGAGGGGATTAACGAGAAGCTCAATCCGTGTGTGGACCCTGCAAATGGATTTGGGGCTCCCACTGTCATCCATAGCCTTCTGCAAATCAGGTGTTCACAATTGAAGCTCTGCTACCATTCCCTCCTTCAGATTTGAATTTTATCATCCTTGGATCACACAGGCTGACGTGCTCCTTCGATAAGGACTTAGCTGATGCCTCACTTAGCTGCTGCTTGTTTGAATACAAGCCTTTAATAGACCCCCAGGTGCTATTCTTTTCAGCAGGGCACCATCTGCTTTCTTCACCACACTTCGCTGTAGCACCCAGACGCTACATCTTTTGATAGCCGGGTACCATCAGCTTTTAGAAGTCACTATTTCTCAAATGTTCTGGTTCTGTGTGTGCGTGCACAGGGAAACCACGCCCTGGACTCAAAACACCTTTTTGGTCATTGATTTTGGGGGAGGAATTGTGATAAAAAACATATCTAACAACGCTTGGCTGTTTCCCCGTGTTTTATGTGTACAAGGTAGTGACACTGAGTAGACGGTTTGTTGGAAAGCGATCCAGCTGCATTAGCCACTGGCCTCGACCAGGGGTTGGTTCGAGAGCCGTATGCCACTCAGGCCGTACATTATATGCGGCTCTGGAGTAAAGGGAAACATGGTGAAGGACATTATTCAGATTATGGTGATTTCACTGTCTGTAAAAATATATTTATGGCTCTCAAATGATTTTTAAATTGTGGTGACGGACAGGATTGGCTCTGCCCTCTCAAAGTTTGCCGACCACTGGGCTAGCTCAATGTATGTCAAGCTTGATTTTAAGCCAGAGAGAGAAATAAGCAAAGCGACTGTTCTTAAGGGCACCTGCACAACCCTGGACTGTGTGGACAGCAGTCTGAGAAGCACTGGGCGGGCCGGGCCACATCCTCCTTCAGGGTTTCAAAGCCCACTTGCTCAAAATAGAATTCCTCTTCCACCTCGCCCACCCGCTGACCCCGACTCCCACGCAGGTGTCAACCTTCTTCATCCAGGGCTTCCAACCGGTTCAAACCGGTTCAGTCATTGCCATTGTAACACAGGCCACGTGCACTGGTTGTACTGCCTGGCAACCAAATCTTTCACCCACGAGCCAATCTCTCCTGAAAGTGTCAGGAGCCCGATGTGGAAGACTGGGTTCTTGGCAGACTCTGGAGGCAGCGGGCATTCAGAGAGGCCCAGTCAGCTGCCATCTCTGAGCGGGCACAGCTGCTGGTTTCCTACTCAGGTTAAAGCACCATGGGCAACAGATTTGGTTGCTATGCAACCCATATGCAGCTCTTGTTTACTAGAGCAGCTACTGAATTCTTTAAGCCCAGTTGGAGGCCTGCTCCATCCCACTCGGTGGCAGTTCCATCTTTCCAGTGGCTCTAGTCACAAGCCGCGGTGTCCATCCACTTCACAGCTCTCTCACACTCGGTGTCTAAGTGTTAGTAAATCTTGTCACCCAAATTTCACTTTTCAGTGAAACTCCCCCTAGCTGCCCTATGAACAATAAACCAGAACCCAAATTCATGGCCATGGGGATAATTCCAATTCAGAACAGCCCTCTACCTCAAATATCACAATCATCCACCATGTGATTCCCACCTTCCCAACACGATCGCTGAAGACAAAATGGGTGCATACGCAAATATGGTGAAGAAAGCTGATGGTGCCTGGCTATTACAGGAGAGCATCTGGGGTCTTAAAGGCTTGAAGTTAAACACGAGACCATCTAGCAAGGAAGCAACAAAGCCCACATGGAAGAAGCACACCAGCCTGTGTGATCATGAGGTGTCAATAGGATCAGTATCAGATGATCAAAAACAATTACACAGATGTGAAGGAGAAGGGTCAGAGTGTAGACCCAAGGCCCATTGTTGAGAATTGGACATTCTCTCTAAAAAAACGGTCACACCGAAGGGATGATTCATCCAGGGCATTGAGCTGATTCATCCAACATGCACTGAGCTGATTCCGACTCAAGACGACCCTTTAGGACAGAGTAGAATTTCCCCTGGGGGATTCTAAGACTGTAACTCTTGTGTCTGTCCCTTGGAACAGCTGGTAGCTTTGAACTGCTGACCTTGTGGTCAGCATCCCAGTGTGTAATCACTATGCCACAAGGGCTACTCAACAACCCTAGAGGACAGAATAAAACTGCCCTTGTGGGCTTCCAAGGCCGTAATCTATATGGGAGCAGAAAGCCCCATCTTTCTCCCACGGAGCACCTGGTGGGATTGAACCACTGCCTGTGTGATTAGCTGCTCAGTGGGTAATCCACTATGCCACCAAGGCTCCCTCAAAATTCACTGTCATTGCGTTGACTCTGATTCATAGTGACCCCATAAGCACAGAGTGCAACTGCCACTTTCGGTGTCCAAGACTAGGTATGTATGGGAATAGAAAGCCTCATCTTTCTCTCACAGAGCTGCTGGTAGGTTTGAACCCCTGACCATGCCATTAGCAGCCCAACGAGTAACTACTCCATCAGTGCCTCAAACCCACCCTTCTCTATTCTCTTTGGGCTGCTTTTATTTCTCTGTAACAGCTATCATCATTTGATATTATTTGTTTACTTGCTTA